CGCGTACCGTTCAGGTCAGATTTTACATAACGGAGTAGAATAAAGTTTGTAACCCCCAATTACTTCCATGCGCCACCCTTAACCCATTCATTACCATCACCATTATTTCATAATCATTTCTCTACAATTAAAAACCCCATCTCTCCCTTCATTTGTCTTTCCACTTTGTAACTCCCAAGAAGCACTCTCACTCTCTCTTCCTCTCCCCTTCATTCGGCCAGACCAGCACCAAGGAGGACCTCCGGTGAAGCTCCGGCGGGTGCAAGGTTGAAGGAGAAGAAGGGCTAGGCCGTTCGTGTGAAGCGTAGTCGTTGTTTGTCCGTTCGTTAGCACCATTCGTTCATCTCGTTCCATCAACCCCTTCGTTTAGAGGTGAGTAGTTGTCCCTCTAATTCTAGAACATTTAGTTATAATCTATGTCGTTATATTCATAGGAATATCATACGCAACCTATGTAGAATCTATGCATGTTCGTAGGTTAACCATCCAACATACGTGAGCCCATGTTATCAAGTTATGTGCTAGTTAATATAAATGTTTTGAAACCTTGTAAGTTCATCGATTTTCTAACAGGGAAATATAAACATTCGTTTCTTTAAAACTCCCAACATTTTGATGACAAACAAACAGATATAATGGAAGTCAGTGTGCCTTGATAATCGAGTTACGGAATAGAACAGTCGACTATCAGGCCACACTGGACTCCTCAGATGATTCAGCACAGTGTGATAATCGATTATCATATGTGTGATAATCGACTATCAGGCCATGCGGATTCTTGGGTCTGAGTTAGCTTCACCGATAATCAATTATCACATAGGCAATAATGGATTATCAGGGCTCTCTGAACTTAGGACCCTCTGAACAAACCAACTTGATAATCGATTGTCATAGGGTGACAATCGACTATCACAGTCTACAGAACTTTGGGGACAGAAGCTGCACAGCATGATAATCGATTATCAACAGTAGACAATCGATTATCAGCTAGTTATGAACCCAAGGCCGTCATGCTGAACAAATTGTAATCAAACACATATGTATGCATTGAATTTAACTCCCTTCTTTAATCAATGCATTCATTCCGTCATGTTTGTTCTAGACGAATGTTCTAGGTTTTCATCATGTGCATACCGCTGTAGGGAGGACTTCGTGCGCCTACTACAGTGGGCCCGTCCAGGAACCTTTGGGGACCAACGGGTTTTCATAATGTTGGGCTTGTGTGCGTACATAGTAGTCAGGTTACGGCTACTACCTGGTTTTGCTAGTCCACTCGCGATATTTTCGTCGTGCCGGACTCGTTACCGTTCGGGGACGATGACCGGAGTGCAGGGGTGATCCTGTCGAGTGAGACTAAGCCAGGGGTGTCCCTGATAGTTTAAGTCATGCATCAAGTCATGTATCATCATCATGTATGTTCCTTGTTATTCGAAATAGCTTGAACAGGTGAAAACTAAACAGTTAGTAACGTGTGGTCTCCCGTACGTTAAGTACAGGTATTAGTATGTGTATAGCCATATGGGTTATCATTAAATGTTCTTTTGTTAGATTCACTCCTCAGCTTTTGCTGAGCGTGTAGTTGTTTTTGCTACGCGCAGGTAGACATGACGGAGCTGGTGCCAACCCTGAAGAGCAGTGACGATGAGGAGATGGGCGGCGATCGGACGAACTCATATTTCTACTAATTACTTGATTGATTATTTGGGCATGAAGCCACCCTTGTCGTTATTTAATTTGGACAGAACTTATGTATTTACTTCCGCAATTACTCTGCACTTTTATTACACACGTTTTGGGAGTAACTCCCTGGCATTTATTTTTCTAATTAAAACCCAACCGTTTTCTTATTAAATAATCATTAATGTTTTCGTAACGGATGGTTCTCGGACTGTCCATGTAACCCTACCGGTCCGTCGGGTCGTGGGTGAACCGACTCCACGGAAGGCGGGTGTTACACGAGCGCCTCGATTTTCTCTTGCAGAGGCTTGACGCCTCAGAGAAAAGAAGCGGGCCGGGGCACGTGGCCGAACTTGTGTTCAGACTCCGTTCTCCTTTCTCGGAGAAGATTCTGAGGGCACCTTTGCCGAGTAGCTTCTAGATGCCACCAATACCGAGGTACAACGGAACTACCGACCCGCAGGAGCATTTCAACCAGTACCAAACCCTCATGAACGTGGTGACGTTCTCTGAGGAGGTCCTTTGCAGATCGTTCCCCGCCGCTATCAACGGGTTGGCGTTTGAGTGGTTCAATGAACTGCCTGAGGGGAAGATTCATTCCTAGGAAGATTTGGCGCGGAGGCTCCTAGTGCACTTCGCAGGAAACAGGAAGAAGAAGCTGCATTTCTCACACCTCCTATCGGTTAGACAGAGGCCGGACGAGCCATTGAGGGAATTCCTAGCGAGGTGGAAACTGGAGACCACCAGAGTTTATGGAGCAGATGACAAAACTAGGTTGTCCACTTTCCATCTGGTTCTACGATCGGGTGACTTCTTCAAGTGCCTAGCTTTAATTTGGAGAAGCCGAGGGAGTATGCCATCGCGCTAGCCATGGCAGAGGACGAAGCCGAAGCAGAAGAGTTGGAGGCAAACAAGAAGAAAGAGGAGGCATGAAGACTTGGGCCCGTTTTGATGGCGGCAAAGCCTCTGGCGAGGAAGGTCACCATTGACAAGCGGCCACATCTGCCAGTCGGACACCGTTTTCGAAAGGGCAGAGACCCGCGTGACCGACGGTCTCTCGGAAAAGACGCGTACGAAGAAGGGGCCGAGGACAGGAAACCTTATCCCCCCAGGGGTCCCAAGCTGTTATTCCCAGATGAACTCACACCTCTTACACACCCCATCAGGCCATCCTAGATTTCGACGAGCATCAAGGCTTGGTGGAATATGACCCGAGATTTCCTCCGATTTGCACTGTGGGTGAGGGTCCTTATTGCAGGTTTCACAGAGCGGCTGGCCATGACACGGACGCGTGCAAAGTCCTCAAGAGGGAGATCGAGTACTTGATCCAGGCCGGATACCTGAGGCAGTTCGTCAAAAAGAAGAACACATGGCGTAAAGACGATGGAAAGAAAAATACGGACAACCGAGGGAAGAAACCGGCGGGAACTCAGCAGAAGAAAAGGAAGGAGATAGGCCTTCCGAGTGACGAGGAAGAAGAAGCTAACCCTAGGTAGAAGAGGGTTGAAGAGAGCCGAATGATCTACGGTGGTAACACCAGAGGGGACAACGCCGAGCAAAGGAAGAAATGGGTGCACTCGGCCTACGTCAGGGACATTTGCAGTTCACCTGGACTGTCAAAGGTCACGAAGACAGAGCCCCTCCTGTTCGGTCCCAAGGACCTACTGAGATCCCGTCTCCACTCAGAGACACCCTGGTCGTCAAGTGCGAGATCAATGAGGTGGTAATCCACCGTTCTTACGTTGATAACGGGAGCTCGGTCAACATCATGTATGTGAAGACATTTGAGGAATTGGGATTGAAGAAAGAGCTTCTGAAAAGAGTAAGGACCCCCTTGTCCGGATTCACAGGAGACATCATCGATTCAGAGGGCCTGACCGAGGGGATGGTCACCTTTGGTGATGGGGAGCATGAGAAGACCATTCCGGTCGAGTTCATGGTGGTGCGACTCCTTGGATCCCACAACTTGATACTGGGTCGGCCTGCACTAGAAGACCTCGATTCCGTGACGTCTGTAAAATATCTATGCATGAAGTTCCCGACTGATTCGGGAGAAGGAGTGTGCAGAGGAAACTAGAAACTTGCCCGGCTCTGCTACCAAAAGCAGACAAAGAATATGGATGCCCAGGACTTGAGAGTGGACAGCATTGCCACGGCACTCTTGAAGGAAGAGGAAGGACGTGCTCGAGCCGAGCCGGCCGAGGAAACAGAAGATGTGGTGATAATGGAGGACCAACAGGAGAAGAAGATCAAGCTCGGTATCAACATCGGTGCCGAGCTTCGGTCAAAAATCATTCAGGTACTCAGAGAGAACTTCGTGGCGTTCGCATGGAGTGTCGAGGACATGCCCAAACTCAGCAAGTCTCAAGTCACCCACTGCCTCGCGGTGGGAGCAGACGCGGCCCATAACACAGAGGAGGCGACACCTGAGCAAAACCGGAGGGATTTCGTGAAGAAGGAAGTGGACATGCTTCAAGCCGCGGGGCATGTCAAGGAGATAAAATATCCCACCTAGCTGGCCAACGTCGTGCTGGCGCCGAAGGGGCAGACGTTCAGGATGTGTGTGGATTACACTGACCTAAACCGAGCTTGTTCTATGGACCCCTTCCCCTTGCCCAACATAAATTAGATGATCGACGAAACGGCCGGGTGCGAGATAATGTCTTTCATGGATGCGTTCAGAGGGTATCATCAGGTGTTCATGCACGAGGAGGATGCTGAGAAGACGATGTTCCTCACCCCAGAGGGGGTGTATTGCTATTTGGTGATGGCGTTCGGATTGAAGAACAGCGGAGCCACATACACAAGGATGGTCAGCCGAGTTTTCCACTCGGTCTTGGGGAAGATGATGGCAGCATACGTGGATGATATGATCGTCAAGAGCAAGCAGTCCTCCGACCATGCGGAGGACCTTTCCTAGGTTTTTCCCATTATGCGCAAGTTCAATTTATGCCTTAACCCCAAAAAATGTACATTTGGTGTAGAACGTGGCAAATTCCTAGGCTATCTCGTTAGCCGACGAGGTATTGAGCCCAACCCGGAGAAGGTCAAGGCGATCCTGGATATGGAGGCCCCCCGCTCCATAAAGGAAGTACAGCAATTGACGGGAAATTGAAGAAGGTCCTTTTCTTTGGTACGTTGAAGAAGGTCCCGAATTTCCAGTGGACGCCTGAATGCCAAACGGAGTTCGAAGAATTGAAGAAGTATTTACAAACCCCGCAGGTGTTGGCGATGCCGGTCAAGGGCGAGAAGCTGTACCTCTATTTGGGTGTCAGCCCTGGGGCTATAAGCTCTGTCTTGTTACGAGAGGAGGGGGACACTCAACGCCCCATCTATTATGTCAGCAGAACCTTGAGGGATGCCAAGCTCAAATACTCAGTGGTAGAGAAAACAGTCATGGCTGTCGTCAACACGGTCAAGAAGCTGAACCATTATTTTCAAGCCCACGAAGTGGAGGTGAGGAGTCATCAGCCTTTGAGCATCATCATCCGGAATCCGACCGCCTCCAACAGGGTCATCAAGTGGTCTGTCTATCTAAGCCAATATCAGATAGAAATGAAGCCGAGGACAGTGATCAAGGCCCAGGCCTTGGCCGATTTCATGGTGGAATGCACGACGCGAGACAACAATCCCATGCCCCTGGCCGAGCAGGGGGAGTGGTAGACCTTGTCCATTGATGGATCATCAGCCGCAAAGGCTTGTGGTGGGGGCGTAGTAATCCAATCACCTGAGGGATTCTGCTCATACCACGGAATAAAATTCCAGTTCAAGGTGTCCAATAATGAAGCGGAGTACGAAGCATTGCTAAGCGGTTTGAGGATCATCCTCAACCTAAAAGCCGAGCACGTTAGGATCAGGTGCGATTCGCGCCTCGTCGTCAGTCAGATCAAGGGTGAGTTTGACACCAAGGAAGAGCGGATGCGCTTGTACAAGGAGGCAGCCCTGGAATTGCTCAAGACCCTCAAAGGATACGAGCTGGTGCAAATCCCTAGGGCGGAGAACACCGAGGCCGACATCCTCTCCAAGCTGAGCAACGATAGCCCTGAGCACATCTCCAAGATGGCTCATGTTGAAGATCTGGGATCTCCAACCATTCATGCGCAGCTCATATCTGTTATCACTAAGGAAACCAGCGGCTGGATCACGGAGTTGATCCGATACAAAAAGGATGGGATCCTTCCCAATGGCGAGACGGCGGCCCGTTTGATCAAACAAAGGGCGCCGACATATGTCATTAACAATGGCCGACTGTACAAGAGATCGTACAACGACACACTGTTGTGATGCGTGGACGAAGCCAGAGCGGGGCAGATCATGGAAGAAGTCCACGAGGGGGTATGCGCAGCACACCAAGGTCCTTTTTCCATGGCCAGACGCATAGTCCTGCAGGGATACTTCTGGCCAACCATGGTGAAGGACTGTGCCAGATGCGCTAAGCACTGCAAAGTGTGCCAGATTTTTCAAAACATCCCTGGAAGACCAGGAATGAATTACCATCCCATCAGCTCGTCAATTCCCTTCGCTCATTGGGGGATAGACCTGATAGGTCTGATGTCGAGGGCACCTGGAAACTTCTGATGTATCATTGTGGTCATCGATTACTTCACAAAGTGGATAGAGGCCGAGCCCCTAGTGGGAGGAACCTCGGAGCAATGCTCAAAATTTGTGAGCAACAACATACTCTGCCGATATGGTGTCCCGAAGCAGATCACTACAGATAACGGGACCCAATTCGAGGCTGGAGATTTCAATGAACTTTTGCAAGATTGGAAGATAAGACACACCTACAGTTCTGTGGCTTACCCGCAAGGGAACGGCCAAGTGGAAAATGCCAATCGGACGATCATGGATGGGATCAAGAAGAGACTTGAGTCCTACAAAGGAGCATGGGTGGACCAACTCCCCAACGTACTATGGGCGTACCGCACCACTCCGAGGAGGGCGACGGGAGAGACACCGTTCTCCATGTGCTATGGCCTAGAGGCGAGGGCGCCCTCGGAAGTGTTCGTTCCAACCTTGAGGGAGGAAAACTATGAATCTTAGGAAAACGAAGAAACCATGACATCCGACCTTCATTTCGTTGAAGAGCGTAGGGAGCGAGCTTTCCTCAGAGCAGAGAATTACCAGAGGCAGGTCAAAGAGTATTACGACCGCACGGTCAGAGCAAGGGAATTCTGAGTAGGGGACTTGGTGCTCAGAAAGAGGGAAGCTAGTCAGCCCACAGAAGGGGGAAAGTTTGCCAAAAGCTATTAAGGACCATACAAGGTCACAGCCGTGCTCAGGCCAGGCACTTACAAGCTCTCCACGCTTGAAGGTCGCGAACTCGGCAGGCACTGGAACATGCACAATCTTATTTCCTTCTACATGTAATGCATTGAGAACCGTAACCAGTCGGCCTCGGTAGCTTAAAAAAATATTTTTTAATGAAATTCTCGCTTCCATGCGAATTCAACTTTGCTTCATGCAATTTATAGTGCTGCTTAGCGACACCGGGCTCCCACGCCACGATTTGGCCTCACGCGGTCTTTCGCTTTACGCGAACAAAGTCCCTCTGTGCTCCCACACACAACATGAGAATTAGAATTGACCGTCTCGCCACTTCACAATGTCTATTGTCAAGTGTCCCTTCAGGGGGGGAGCCCATCCGCACGGTTTAACCCGGGGAATCGGCGCTCTGAACGAGACGAAGAACAAGGTCCGAATGGGCACAACTTGTTATTAGCACGGAGGGCAGCGCAAGGTCCTGCTTAGGACGGAAAACTTGCAATACTGCTTAGGATGTCTTCCACGACACTTAGTCCTGCTGAGGACACACCATTCTCTGCCCTACCGAGGGTGTGAGCGCAGCAAGACCCTTTGGGGTGCAAAAAAAAGAGAGAAGAAAAGAAAAAGAAAAACAAAACATACAAGCAATTTCATTACATAAAATACGCCAAAAGGCGACAATACATTATCATTTAAGCACGAGAATGTGCAGCACTATTTCCCGAATGGTCAAAGTACACACCCATTTTTTTGGAAAAAGAAGAGTCTACGGAGGATGCGTCATGATCAGTCACCGGATTCGCTTTGAGGGTTGTGTTGGCAGTTTTTTTACGATGAGTACAGCGAAAGCCTTCAAGATAAGCACGCACGTTGGTACCCACCTTGCGCACCAAACTGCCAGATCTCTTTGAAACCTCTGCCGTATCAGGTTCGTGACGGAGAGGGCCTTGGACAGATTATTCACTCAAGGAAAGAAGATCGGGATTAACGCATTTCCCCACCGCAGTCGAAGCGGTGGCGAAGCTGGGAAAGATAGAACTTGCCATGAGAAACAAGCATGGCGGAGTTCCCTGAATAAAAGATGTTCCCTCTTCGAGAGAAGGGGTGTCGGGACCTAACTCCATATCGCAAAAGAGCAAGTAGAGAAACGAGCGATGCATCATATTTATAATCGAAACAAGGCATTCATTACAAAGGCATTCATTGCATACAAAGTAAAACTCCATTACAAGGTATTCTTGAAAGCTACAACATTTATTACATTACACGCCCTACATACTACAGTTGCGGCACCGGCAACATTTATTACACAGTGGCACTGAGAAAGGAAAAGACCCAAGATGCTCTACCTCCCAATGGACCTCCTTTTTTCTGGTCTGGAAATCTATTGGTAGGTACATGTACTCCGTCCTAAGGCCCCATGGACTTTAAGATGAGCAAAGCCCGGGCACCGAAGGACGTGAATGGCCCCTGTCTTGCAAACCTCCATGGGCAGATATACAGGGAAGGGGCATGGAAGGGATATCTAGGAAGAGCCGACGGACTCTTCCGGGTGATGGTCACCCACAGGGATGGCATCAGCAGCTGGCTCGGCGACCTCAACCGGAGGTGCGGGCCGTTGAGGGACCCCGTGAAGGTAATTCACGAGTCTTTGCAGACGTTCGATGCACCTTTGTAACCTCTTTGCACGGTACCACCAAGAGCATGTGCGCGATTCGGCATCCTCCGGCGCAGAAGGAGGGGGACGACGGACGGCCTTCGATTGAGAAGACGATGGGACAGTCTCTTTGGAGTTATTGGAAGCCATGGAAATGTAAACACAATTGGCGTAGGGAAGAGATGGTTGCACAACACAAGCAGAGGGTCAATTTATAGGCCCGAAAGCGAAGGGATAAGGCAGGTGAACAGTCGCGGTGGTTGGAATGGGAACTCTTTGCAATGACACGTGGGTGAAACAGTGCGACGGTCCAGTGGTTAGGTCTGCTTACATGGGGAAGCCAAAGAGTCAGTTCCTCAAAAGGCATAATTCAAATATATTCAGATAAGTAATGTCAGAAGAAAATCTATTCACTATTCACGCATGCAACAAAATAGTAGACAAATCTTGTTCATTACAATGGAAGACAAAACTTCAAAAATTACAAAGGAAAGCATCAAGGAAGGGCGTCTGAAGGTTGGTCTTCGCCGGCGACGTCCGCACCCATGTCCTTGCGCTCGGGCGTCCCAAAGTAATCCGGATTTTCCCCGAGCTCATCATTCAGGATAGGGTCATGCATGTATGGGATGTCAACCCGGGGCGGAGGGAAGGATTGGTCCACCCTTCTGGCCCGACGAAGAACGAGCTGGATCCCATGATAGACACCAGTCTCGAGCCACTTCGACCCCTCCTTTCCCATCTTCACTGTGCCGACCTCGGTCTCAACCCAGCTGTCATAGTAGTCAGCGAACATTTCCATACAGGCATCTTTGAAGGTCGGGGACTGAAGGAAGTCGGAGGCAGCACGTTCTTTCTCGACGACGGCCTGAGCTCTCTCAGCAACGGCTTGCTCCTTTTCGGCAAGGGCCCGATCTCGCTCAGCTTCCAGGGACCGCTACAAGGAGACAGCCACGGCGAGTTCAATATCCATTTCGGCTATTCGCCCCTCAGACTGGCACAACCGCCCCTCAAGCTCGGCCATGGAGGCCGTCAGTTGGGAGGCTGACTCCTCCGATTCTCTCAGCAAGCCTTGCAGCTGGACCACTTCCTCGGACTCCGCAACGGCTTGCATCTCAAGCTCGGTGGCCTGTTCATGCTCGGAACCCGCCAACCTCCTTAGCCAGGACAATTCCGTCTCCACCGAAGCCAAAAAATCCACCCCCAAGGAAAACTCAGCCCCGGCCCGGCGTTCGCTGATCAGATCCAACTTCGCCAACACCTAAAAAAGCCAAGTCAATCACCTATATCAATTAAGAAAATGAAGGCACCAGGAAACTCACCTCTTTGTGGAACCCATCCACCAACCCTCGCAAGGACGACAGGATCTCGCCCTTGTCTTTCAGCGCCGGGGACAGAGACGCGGCCTCGGCCACGGCCTACACATTCCCGTCAGTTCTGTCAAGGAGGGCGGGGCACTTCCCATCCTGAGGAACGGCTGGACGTTTCGCCAGCAAGCTTTGGGTCAGAACCACGTCCTGCTCGGACACGGTCTCCTCATCCTCGATTTGGATGAGTTTCCTCTTCCTTTGGTTCCGAGTCAGAACCACTTCCTGGTTTGGGATGATTGCGGCAGACCCAGACGTATCTCCTGAGGGCGGCTCGCGGTGAACCTCCTCTTCTCAGCCCCGGCTTTGGGCTAGCAGTTTGGACCTCCGAACAACCTCCAACGGATGTATGTTTCCTGACAGGACAAATACATAGGTTAGGAAACTTATCATTAAAAGGGAAGAATCCTAAGGTTAAGGACAGACCTCCGTAAGGCTCCGCGTCAACGACATCCTCGCAATAGGACGGCTATCCTGACTCTTCTTCGGTCTCAATCTCATCGCTCCCTTCCTCCTCCTTTTCCTCTGATTCTGGCTCTTCCGGCCCTAAGGCAGTCTTTTCAAGTCCATGCTTAGGACGACCCCCACGCACGGCCTCGGCCAACTCGAACTGTTGTTCAAGGGAGATAAGAATCCCCACCTACGCAAGGTTCTGCTCCATGCACACAGTGTACACGTGGGGCGGTTTGGGCCGGCAGTCTTCCAGGAGTTTCTACGCGTGTGCGAGAAGCTCTGGAGTGGGGTCGGGGCGAGGATGGCAGATGAAAGTGTGACATTCAGGAAACCTAACCCGGAAAGGGTGCTGGTCCCCGGAAAAGCCCGAGATGAAGACAAACTTAGCCTTCCAGATTTTTAGGGACGTGAGGATGACAACCATACCACACTCGGCCTGAGAGGAGACAACAGCATACGAATTTCCCTCACGCGCCCCGACCTTGGAAACCTTGAACATATACCGAAACAAATCCAAGGACTAGGGGACTCCTTTCAGATGGCACTTGATCAGAAAGGCAGAAAAACAGTAGTAGGAGTGGGGACTGAGCTGACCAGGGAGAAGGCAGTAGAAGTTCAGGAATTGGACTATCAGATCATGAAGAGGAAACTGGAGACCGTAGCGCATGGATGCCACATGCACCCCGACCTCGGCATCGGAGCTGGTCACAGAGAAGACGTGGTTGGTCGCGTGCGGTCGGCGTACGGAATATCCCTCCCCAACGAAATGAATGGCTTCGTCGAAGTCAGTGTCTAACAAGACACAACCCGTATTCGTGATTGGACCCCTTTCTAGCACGGTAACGGGTAAGGACTTCCAGGTCGGACCCTGGACGGTTTTCGATTTTTTCGATTTTTTCCCCTGTAGAGGGCGGCACCCGGGACGATGACGCCACAGTGATCGACGTACGGAGAGGCACCGCACTCAGAACCCTAGAATGGCCAATCCCTCCCATCAGACCGTCGGGGCGGAGGGAGGGATCTTGTCGGTACATCTCCTCAAAACAAACTACCGCCGGGTCAGCAACGGGAATGGAAGGAGTAGAATCGGAAGACGCCATGAGAGCGGGGAAGGATGAACTAACCTTCGGGGCAGACTACGACGGTGACGGTGAGTGAGCAGGGACGGCGAATGAAATCGACGGAAAAAGTGCGGCGCAAAAATGACAAAGGTGGAGAGGATTGGAAAAAAATTTCCTTTTTATATGACCAAGGGATCCGACCCGATTCAATGAAAAGTCACAATCACGGAGGGACGTGGTGTTCCCTCACGCGTATGATTGCGAATTGTCACGGACGGCTGACAAGGGAACAGTACAGAGACGTTGCGTCTCCCAAGCAGCGCAATCATGCTTTTCAAATTTCGAAGGTGACACGTGTAAATATTGCCATTTGGAACCCTCCCCAACCCTCATCCACACTCAAGTTGGGCAGTGGGGGACTCCTACACACGGCCAAGATTTTCAAAATTCAAATTCAAATTCCCAATATTTTGGAATTACTTCCCTCGGCCTCGCTACGCTTGGCCGAGGAAGTAGGGGACTCATGATCGATACCCAGGAATGGGGGTATTCGGCCCAACAGGAGAGCGGCCCAGCCCAACTTTGCTAAGGCCCACTTACCTGGATCAAGGCAAGGATAAACGAAGAACCAAGGAAGACCATCCCGGCAGTGATACGCGCTCGGCCCCGACGGGATCAGTCGTCCTCAGACCACCCCTGGCCGGCCTTCTACCAATAGACTTCCGAAGACGGGTTGTACACTCGGCCCCGGCCTTGAGCAACGGAAGACCAAACCTGGACAAAGGAAGCTGACTAAGTCAAGATCAAGGGGCCCACGATTAGACCCCTGCCATACCTCTGGCAGAGTTGCTATAGCCACCCTACTTGTAACCTACTTTGTATAGCAATCCTAGGGATAATGAAATGGTTGGATGCCACCAGTGAACAACCCAATCTTAGTGGGCCCAGGCCGTTGGACTCTGGACCAACGGTCGGAACCCTATGTTGTAACCTTGCATATAAACCCCTTCCTTTCCAAAGGAAGGGGGACTTACGTTCTGACTTACGTTCCAACTAGCACAATAATACTCTCAGTTTACTTGACCCCATATTTGTGCACTCTCGACTTAGTTCGATACTCTCCCGCCTAGTCTCCTAGGCCCCCGGGTTCCTTAACCCAACAATACCATAGATAATAAGCGGTATCTAGCAACACATTATTACCCCCAGATTATGAAAAAGACGTTCATCTCATCAATACCTTCTACGACACAAGACGTTCTATAACTATTATCCTTCTGTCCTAAATGTCATGATTTAACACAAGGCATGGGATGTGTATCCTTGTATAGTTAAATCAACTGTTACTGAATCTCAAGTAGACTGGTAGGGATCAGATATTTATCAGTCTCTGGATAGCGACATATCTGGATAATTAAATCCTATCACATATTATTGATATAATATGCACCTACGTACAGATTAAGATATCACAATACCTATAGTCTATGAGACGCAACTATCTCATCTCGTATGTACTAGTCTTAATACGTTATGACATCTGTATTATCATAAAGTACAACTAGGGATATTCTAGACATAGCCTTCGCCAAGAAGTAACAGTCTCATAATCAGAACATCGTAGTCCTCATCTATGTTACTGTAGAAAGATTAATTTCCAATTATTATCAAAGAGAGGGTACATGTGTATATATACAAGGGAGTTTCCTAGTTGGTGTAGGAAATAATAATGGTAACCTATACAATTAAGGTAACTACAATTATTAACAATATTAAATATAGTAGTAATATATTTAACATGCTCCCAACGGTGGCGGTGAGGTTGGCCGAACACCCAAGCAATCTCGGAATTCACAGAATATGATGGATGGTAGACCCTTGGTGAAGATATCTGCATACTGTATGGAAGAAGGGACATGAATAACTCGTATCTGCCCGAGGGCCACTTTGTCACGCACAAAATGAATGTCGACTTCAATGTGCTTTGTGCGTTGATGTTTGACGGGATTTGCTGAGAGGTAGACCGCACTGATATTATCACAAAAGACAAGAGTGGACCTGGTTAATGGTTGCTGGAGTTCTAGGAGCAGATTTCGGACCCAACTCACTTCGGCCACGGCATTGGCCACTGCACGATACTCTGCCTCAGCACTAGATCGTGATGTGGTGAGTTGTCGCTTGGAGGACCAGGAGATGAGGTTGTCACCGAGGAAGATGCAGTAACCAGATGTAGATCGGCGTGTGTGTGGGCACCCTGCCCAGTCTGCGTCAGAGTAGGCCCGCATGTGATCTGTAGAGGACAGCGTAATGGAAATGCCGTGTGTGGGGGTCCCATGTAGATATCTGAGGACTCGTTTCATTGCTGTGAGGTGCTCTGTGCGCGGGTCATGGAGGAACAAGCAGAGCTGCTGAACTGCATATCTAATTTCTGGCCGTGTGAAGGTGAGGTACTGCAGGGCGCCCACAATGGAGCGGTAAAGTGTGGGATCCTGGACTGGGGAACCTGCGGTTGCGGATAACTTCCCTCTGGTGTCTACGGGGGTGGAGACAGATTTGCACGATAGCATGCCTGCACGCTCCAAGATGTCGTATAGGAATTGGGTTTGCGTTAGCTTGAGGCCATGGGTGGTGCGTTGGACATTGATCCCAGGAAAAATGAAGGTCACCCATATCCATCATTGCAAATTCCCCTTTCAGAAGCTGAGTGATTTGCTGAAGGAGTTGTGTCGAAGAGGCAGTGAGGATGATGTCATCAATATAAAGTAGAAGAAAAGCCATACTCTATCCCTCTCCGTAGGTGAATAAGGAAGTGTCACTCTTGCATGCCCGAAAACCCCGAGAAAGGAGAAAGCCCGTGAACCGTTGATACCAGGATCTGGGTGCTTGCTTGAGGCCATAGAGAGCTTTGTTGAGCTTGCATACATAGTGCGGTCTGGCGGGATCCTTGAAGCCGGAGGGTTGGGCCGTGTAGACTGTCTCTGTAAGAGTCCCATGAACGAAAGCATTCTTCACATCCAACTGATCAATCGGCCACCCCCGAGACTCGGCTAAGCTGAGGACGATGCGGATGGTAGCCGGCTTGACCACCGGGCTGAAAGTCTCGTCATAGTCGATGTCGTGGCATTGGTTAAACCCACGAAGAACCCACCGAGCTTTGTACCTGGACAATTCCCCTGTAGGGCCAAGTTTGTGTCTAAAGAGCCATTTGCCAGTGATAACATTCTGGTTAGGGGTGGGTGGTACTAAATCCCATGTATTATTAGCAATCAAAGCATTAAATTCGTCTTTAATAGCATTGAACCAGTTGGGATCCTTCAAGGCACTACGGTAGGTGGGGGGAGAGGGGATATGGAAGTGGTGTTAAGGTTAAGGATGTGTTTGGGGCAAGAGATACCGGATTTAGCGCGGGTGATCATTGGGTGTGTGGGTTGGTTGGAGGGTGGC